CACTGGCCCTCATATGTGGGATCCGAACCGGGGCCCTCTGGCGTCCCAAACCAGTTCTTAACCATCGTGCCACTTGGCCGGCCCCTCCCCACTTTTGTTTTACTCTTACAAAAGCAACCATCCCCTGGCTTGTTTTCCCAGTGGTTTTGATTCTAAGTCATTGAATTAGCTTTGCATCAGGATATAAATGTAAATAAAGTGTTCTTCACTAGATTCTAAACTTATATCTCATTGTATCCTAAACATTGGTGTGCTCTGGTAAATGTACAGGTAACCAGAAAGCCAAAACGGGAGCACATTTAATTACAAGTTTAGTTTTGAGTTTGGAAATGTAGGGTGGAGATACTTAAGCTTTGTTTAAAGGATTGATTATCGGTGAGAGAGAAGGATTAGAGACCCAAGTTCTAGAACCAAGAACTGCAGGTGAGAACTGAGAAGGGATTTGGGGAGGACCCAACTAAGATTGGAAATAATACATCCGCAGCAGCAATTTTGAAATAGAGCAACCAGAACCAAGAAGTTCTGCACAAAGTTAAAAATTCTTTACTGGTACTGTCTTCCTCTGGAAAGCCAAGAGCCATTTTATTGTTAGCACTTTGGGCCAAAATTGAACACCAGGGAAAATAAATTTTGATAATATGTTTTGGGGATACATAGTCAAAATAAGTCAAGGGTCAAATTGGTGTCGTGCCAGTCAACCCTGTAGACCAGGACCCTTGAAAGTATTGTCAGGAGAGTGGGTGGCATGGCTGACACCAAAGACCCACAGGTATTTTTTTGTGGGTTCAGTTAATGGAGGGTTGGTTGAGGGTAGAGACCATTCATAAAATAAACCAGGGTGCACTGACCACCCTGAAGATAGATGTGATCACTCAGCTCACTAGTGGGGTCGAAACAGCATGCCTCATTAAACTTATTTACAAACTCCTGGTTTGGAAATGTCTGGGAAGAGTGTTCCAAAGTAATTATATGCCTACTCTAATCAAAATGCTACTTTTTCTTTCCCCAGAACTGCAGAATGTTTCTAAAATTTATTTGGAAACAACAGGACAAGAAAAGCCAGTGTAGCATAGTTAGGAAAATGGATCCTAGAATCAGAAGTGGGAGCTTAAAATTTCTTACTCGTGACCTTGGAAAGGTTTATTACTTTTCTGAACTTCATTTTTCTCACCTGTAAAATGGGTGTGATAGGTTTTCCCTCAAACAACAAATGAGGTAAATTTGGTTTCAGAACACTCACTAGTGATTGGTGGGGTCCAGGAGGAACCCAAGGAAAATAGAGTCCAGGATCCTGGAGAGGGGCAAGTACCAATCTTAGAGATACTAGAGGGAAACTCCCTGTGACAAAGGATGGATTGTGATGGGAAAGGAGGAACAGATGTGAAGTTCTGGCTGTGGAAGCGTTTTGAAAGGTAGATTTTTGGCATAAGGGGAAAGAGGAGCTAAAGCAAGATTTTTAATAACAGGAATCCCCATCATACCCTGCGTGTGCACACCCACACACATGACCGCGTAACATGACCACAGTATAGAGCACTGTGGTTCAGATTTGTTTGGGTTCTTGTGATACACCTGTAAGGGGAAGGTTTATTTTGCTTTTTTGCATCTGATCTGCCTGTGCTGTTTGTGTTTATGTGAAATCATGTGGACCTGTATACCGTGGGTTAAGTTCTAGCGCTCCAATCTGGAGAAAACGTTATGGGTTAGCTGCATTTATTTATACAGGAACCATAAAATAATTACCCCAAGCACTATGGGAAAACGACTAAAACTTACTGATAGAGTAAGTGGAACCAATCAATTCTCATTTGGAATCAAATGATACAGGAGCTGAGTTTTACGCGCAGGAAGAGCACTAAGCTTCAGGAAAAGTTCGTGAACTGCTGCCAGGATCACAGAGCTGCTGCACCAGTTCCTACCTGTTTTCAGCTAGTTTTTGGGTTGCGTGCAATAGAGACTGATTCAGCAAAAAGGTTTATTGGAGGGTAACAGTGCTTCACAGGATAAATGAATAGGACTAGGTTTGTAAAGAAGAAACCAGGGCATCTTCACAGTTATCGGTGGGAAGAGCTAAGAGGCAGTCCCCAGTGGGATCAGATCGCTCATGCCTTTCTGACATTTCCAGAGTCAAAACCCTGAAAAGCACATCCAGTTGGCCTAATGGGTTAATTTCCATCCTTTGGCACCTTAGTCTCACCAAGACTACGGATGACGGGGGAAATCTGCAAAAGGAAAT